CCCCAAAACCCCAAAACCCCAAAACCCCAAAACCCCTATTCACCAAAATCAAATTGGAAGAAACAAATATCGAAAATGATGTATCTTATAAGGAATTTTAGCTAAGAACGGGAAGCTTAGCTAAGGTAGAGATTTAACGGGATAGGTTAAACTGAAATATTTTCGTTCTTGCCTTGATCAACATAGTTGTCAATCATCTCTTCTACTTCTGCTTTCGTGTAGCAGAAGTTCGTCTTCCCCTTCAGCCCCTGCAGCAACATGCAGTACAAGTCGTAGGCTTTGGCTGCCAGCACCTGCGTCTGGTAAGTGCCGATGTAAGTCTTCTTCTTGTTTATTGAAATTAGTGCTTGCCAGTGAGGCCCATTCTTGCAGACCCCGATGTATTTGGATCTTTTGATGCTAGCGTTGATCCTGTCTTTTCCTTTGGTGTTGCTCATAAAAACTACTTCATCAGGATTGTGGAACACACTCAGAGCTTGTCTGAGAGTGCCCACTTTGTCGTCAAAGTGCATGCTGCTGATTCGGGTTCTTCTGAATGCAGCTTTGCTGTTCGGAGAGCCTTCGTTCGTCAAACACTCTTGTACAGCATCGATGTCACTTGTCGGGATCTGCTGAGGGCAGACACAGAAATGTTTGGACAGAGCATCCAAACTCGTCTGCAGCATCATGGATGCAGCGATGAAGCTGGGGTCTCATAGACTAGCAATCATGTCAAGATCGACAGCTGAAATGTCTTTAAACAAGATTTCAGGTGTAGTAGTTTGCGACTGTATCATTAATAATTATTAAAAATGAGTTTAGATTCTTCTTAAATATGCGATATCTATAGTCACTGGAAGATACAACTTTTGCAAGAATAAAATTCACTCAAAAATCAAATTTTCTTAAATAAAATTGCTGAATTATGGAACTATTGAGATTAAAATATCTATAACTTATCAAATAACCTTATGAAGATGGCTTCTAAATTGTACAAAAATTCCTAATAAATGTATCTTAGATCTTCTAATAAACCGATCGATCAAAGTTCTTCTTGGACTGTAACCATCAGCAGAATTTGATATAAGTTATGACCATAATTTATTCACAACTGTCTTTCAATCAAAATCTGACTTTAGATGAGACACCTGAATTTGGGACTATTTAAAACACTGGGTAAAAAGAAAGATGTCCTCTCCCCACAATAACTCCGTACAATATGACCTTTCGATCTACTATTTCATTGATCTTTGTTACTTCTTTTCTCTATATCGGCAAATAATTTAATCGAAGCATCAAAGATATGGTATTTCGGAAGAAAAGTAATCATAAAAAGATGAGACTAGGGCTCTTGGGAAGCTATTATTAATATCGATAATTCTTTTGTACCTATGGCTGCTTATACACATGTGCATCTAACCTTGTTGGTCACCTCTTCAACCATTAAAGGATACCTTAAAGTTTAGTCTTCGTAGAAGTATTTTCCAAAATGTCGTAAAAAGCTGAACCCAGCTCTGACGGTCGTCTGCCAATTATTTAGAAAATTAATTTTCGGAGAAATTTTATATGGATATTTCATAATGTCGTCTCTTTAAAGGATACATATTTAGTTTAGGTTAAGAAAAATGCAACAAAAAAGATACGGAGTGCAGACACAATGTCTCCCTCGATAATTAGTAAGATCATTTCCCAATAGTAGCTAGATTAAGTACCAAAAAGTTTAAGTGAGCCTCAATGAATACTATTCGTGACAGTTCCTAAAATTATGAAGTAATTTCTTTTAGGCAGCATCCTTCCATACCCTGCTTTTAAACAAGACTTAGAGATTTCTCAGATTTAGGCTGATCTGTGCCACATATCCACTAAAATTTAGAGCAGGATGCATCAAGCCAACTTTGTCTGCCAAAATGCCTGGAGTTGTCATCTCATCAGCCGTAAAATAATTCATTATCTATTAATAATCTTAAAGAGCTTTTGTACTTGAAGAAAGCAGCTTGGAGCTTTTCTTAGCCACCTATTTAGCTGTGATTAATAGGGAAAATAATTCAAATATTCATACTAGACTTCCTAGAGCTCTTATAGGATAATCACTTTGTTAAGAGGAGTTTAAGTAAAGTAAATTATAAGAAAGACAATTAATTAATAAAGACTAAAAGTTTATTATGGAGTTCAATATTCAAGCTACTTTAGACCTACAGCAGAAATTTGAGTCTTTTTAGACTCATTAGCATATATAGGAGACTTAGAGTTACAGCCAAGGTTTAACCAAGAGAATAGCACACATATGGGATGTCTTATCCCCAGCTTAACTTATTTCAACAAGGTTTGGTGAATGTGGGGTTTTGGGGTTTTGGGGTTTTGGGGTTTTGGGGTTTTGGGG